AGTGTGGTCTGCAGTTTCCCCAGACTGGGCTGGAGGATGGGGACAGGTATATTGGAGCCCCCTGTTAGCAAATAAAAACCTAGGATTCTGGACTAGCCTAAGGGATTGACACAACACCTCATCTGGTGTGTGACAGAAAGGTTTTGTTTACTACAAGTAATGAGCCCAAACCAAAGCAAAGTCCAGTAATTAGCTATAAGGTGATGCTTTCTCACCAAAAAAGCAACAAGGGAGATAGTCTGTTTCTTCTAGTTTCTCGAGATGGCTGGGGTGCAGCAGCAGTTCTTGCCAGAGCGATCTTTCATTCCTGAAGTGCGCCCTGTTAGCCATTTCACTTCTTTCTTATACCCTTAGTCCAGCATCTTCAAAGCATGTTTTTAGCTGTATAAATCAAGAGAGAGTCCCAAGCAGTATTTGACAGGAAAATCCTGTTAATCAAACTGCTCATTATTGGTTATCAGAAAGTTCCAATTTGAATGAATTACCTTCCTGAGTGATAAGAGGTTATCCCAGGGGCAGGCAATTATTTCGGGTGGAGACCACTTACTGAGTTGTAGCAAGCTGTCATGGGTAGCCCCGCCCCTTGACAGGCACCCTGCTCCCTGGTTACCATCTTGTGACTGGAAGTCCTGCCCCCTAATTCCTGACCTTTGCCCCCAGAAGTCCCTCCCCTTGCCCCAGAAGTGCTCCTTTCAGCAAGGGGTTTTGCCATCTCGGAACCAGAAAAATACCAAATTATATTCTAAAAGTCAAGTATGTACTACAACATTCATTAATTTGATTTCAAAAAATATTTTTGATCTGATTTACATGTGTTTGTGTAGTGTGCATAGAAGTGATAGTATAATAGATTAAAATGAAATCTTACTATGGGGCATGGGGGTGTACGTTTGTGGGGGGACTGTGGGTATGTGGGTTGTGGGTGTCTGTGTAGATATGTGGGGTGTGGGTGGGTATGGGGTTTGTGGGGGGTTGTGTGTGGGGGGGAAGGTAGCTGGGGTATGTGAGGGGGTGTGAGTATGGGGGTCTGTATGTATAGCAGTGCGAGGGGGTGTGTGGGTGCATGTGTATGGTGGAGTGTACATGTGGGGCTCGCCCTACAAACACACACACACACACACACACACACACACACACACCCTCCCACTCATGGCCCCTGTAGCTGGAGCAGCTGGCAGGAAAGCAGGGAAATGGCAGCTTCAGGCAGAGAGTAGTGCCAGTGAGCAGGCATGCAGGAGCTCAGGGACAGCTGGGTGGGAGCATGGGGCCTGTGCTGGTGTCCTGGGGCCAGCACCAACAGGGCCCAAAGTGGGGTGGCAGGAGTGCAGGACCCCTGCCCCCATCCAGCTAGTGCCAGGCCCCATGCTCCTGCCACCACCAGCACTGGTCCTGGGCCACCAGCCCAGGCCCATTGCTTGCACCCACTCACTGCCTTTTGCCCCCCCACCCTGTAGCTGCCATTTGCCTACTTTCCTGCCAGCCACCAGCTGCTCCAGTACAATGTGGCTCCCAGCTGCATGGCTGGACTGTGGGACTCAGCAGGAGCCGGCCTGGCCTGGCCCTGAGCACAAAGGAAATCATCCAGAGCCCTCCCCTGCCTCCTCCCCCCCCCACCACCAGTGTTCTTATCTGGATTTCCCTCTCAAGCACAGGGAACCAGGAACAGCCCTAGGGGCCCAGGCCAGAAGGCTCTGCTAAGCACAGGACTTCCAGGTGGGGGTTGGGAGTGGGAGGGTGCAGGGGCGGGGGGTGGGGCAGGGCGGAGCAGGCCTTGCTTCTGGACTCCTAAGTCATGCCAGCTTCCCCTGGGTCCTACTGCCCCTGGCAGGCAGGGGCAGATAAATATTAATTTTCTAATTTTTTTAGGGGCCCCACAGGCCAACTAGAATGGCCTGGCGGATTGGATCTAGCCTGAAGGTTGTATTTTGCCCGCCCCTGGGTTATCCATTTCTACTAAGTTTGTAACGTATCGAGAAACTGATTAACAATCAGGAAAAACACAAGTGTCCTTGGAAGAAGATCAAGGGAACCACTAGGCAAAACAAGGTAAATCAAAACAAAACAGCAAAACGAAAGTAAATCAGGAAGAAACACTTATCACATATGGAGAATGTCTCTTCCTGAACATAAACATGAGTTAATTGCAAAAGAAATATTTACCATACTAATTAATCAAGGACAGACAATTCACACGGTTACATACCAGACAACTAGGAGCCTGCTTGAAATCATGAATATAATAAGATAAGCTGGAAGTGATACCTCATTATTTCTTCTCAAATAGCCTTGCCATGAACTTGCAACTTTTTGTACTATGCAGTTAGCATCAGTATTTTGTATTTTAACTTTTGTGAGTAAACCCCAGCTTAGCATGAGCTTCAGAGTTGGGGGCCTCCAATTCACCCTCCCCACACTTGCAGTGCAAGCTGGGCAAACAGCAGACTGAGCTCCTCCCATCCCTTGCCATCCTGAAGACAGTGCCAGAGCTGGATGGGTGGGTGCAAGGCTAGGGTACAGAGGTTCCAGACTTGCAGCCGAATCCAAAGTGGAGCTCAATCTCCCACTTTGCCAGGCCCAACAGAGAATATCTTTTGGGTTGAGAGGATTGCTATAACACATGACGCTTCCTCTGAAGCACTATGAGTTACAGTGGGGATCTGCATATCTGTCAGCAGTCACAAAGACTTGTTTCTCATTTGAGAGCCAGATCCCTTGTATCAGAGCTAATCATGTCTTGTCCTCCCTCACAAAGAAAACAACTGGAAGTCCTTTATGAGCAGGGATCCTGGTTTTCTGTTAAAAAATCCAAAATTCTCCGATTAAAATCCAAAATTCTCTGATTAAAAAGCCCCAAATCCATGTTTTTCTGTGATTAAAATGAAACACCACTACACGAAACACCCCTAGACACTGAACACAATGTTATATTGATATATTTGTGTAACCTGGGCGGTACTTCAAAATGTACCCTCTCTCCAATTGAAGGGATCAGAGCAGGTGCACAAGCACTGTGAGAGGTATAGGGACCCTCCTTCCCCTATAGAGCAGAGCCAGATCGCCAGTGGAGACTTAACCATATATCTTTTAATGAGAAAAACAGCAGTGGGAACCTAACATGTATAAACCAGGAGGTATAGGGGACATGACAACGTCCCGAGGGGGCAGGATTCAATAAAGGTTAGGCATTTACATTCGTAGACATATTCTTCCAGTTGACAAAAGACAGGTTTAACAAAATATAAAACACAAACAGCACAACAAACAATACTGGTTGGTGAAAAATAAGAGGCACAAAATACAAAACATCAAATATCAAGAAATATAGGGCCTAGATACCTGGAGGGGGGAAAGAGGGAAAACACACTAACCCCCCCTTCCACTGCAACAAGAATTTCTCCCTGTTATTTCACTCACCCTGATGGGACTTAAACTCAGATTTCCTATATGGTAGGCACAAACCCTACCACACACAGCCACCAGTGCTGGCACTGCTCTAAGCTGCAAGGGGTTTTGACCTTCCAGGAGCCCCTGACTCTCGTTGAGCTTCCTGGCCTCTTGGTGGAGGAGCAGGAATCAGAGCTGGGAACCTCTCAGGTCACTGCTCAGCTTCTTGCTGGAGCTGGGGAACCTCTCCTGCTGGCAGACTCTTGTAGGGGATCCTGGAGCCCAGCGGGGAGCCCCTCCTGCTGGCCGCATGCCGTGCTGCTGAGGGTCCAACTGCTGCCTTCAGTTCCCACTCCTTCAGGCTTTTCTGGGGCAACTGCTCCTGCCCCACTGGCCCAGCTCTTGCCAGCTCTTTGCAACTCCTTCCTTGTGTTCCCTTGCTGGTCTCCCCTGAGTCAGCTGCGCTGCCCCTTTTATTCGCCTCTGGGTGACCCAAGGGGTCAATCAGGGGACATGGAGAGTGAGTCTCTGGGGCCTGACTGGTGAAGAAAAGGAATCCCAAACCCTCCAATCATCTTTTACCCTTTCAAAACCCCTGGGCCAAATCATTACCAGATAGCCCATCATATCTGCAATTTTAACGCAATTTGGAAGCCTATCAGTGCCTCAATTATTATAATCAAATTAATTCTAAATACCTATATATTTTGGCATTTAATTTTGCAGCCCCTCTCCCCCCACCCAAGCCCTGCCAGTGTGACCCTCACCTCTTCCTCCCACTAACCTGCAGACAGGGCTGGCCTTAGAGGTGAGTAGTGATGGCAAACACCCAGGACACCGAGGCAGGAGGTGGGGCGGTGTCACGGTATCCCAGGGCAGGGCCCCACTGCAATTTGGGTGGGGGCAGAGGAGGAGGCAGCGAGCCAGGTGTGTCCCTCACTCCTGAACCATGGTCCTCTGCCCCCTGGCCCTGTTGGAGGGAGCCCCTATCTGCTCCCAGCATCCCAGTGTGTGGGGTAGGGTGTGGGTTTGTAGAGAAGTGGGAGTGTGAGGCTTTCTGGAGCTTGCCCCCTGCCCCAATGGTGAATCAGACATGCCAGAGCTTGGCCCCTGATGGCCCAGACCAGCCCTGCACCATCAAGGCTGTGCACCAAGCTCTGGCATTCCCAGACCACCCCTGTGCCATGAGACTATCACCCAATGGCTCAGGGCTGGTTCAGACTTGCCAGAGCTCAGCCCCTGCCCCTGATGGTGCAGGGATGGTCCCCAAGCCCTGGCCCTCCAACCCCCAACATAGATGACATGTCAGGGGGACACGGGGTACATGTGTCTACCCCTCAGAGATGGAAGCTGTATTGGGGGGGGGTCCTCATCACCCTGCATCTCCTCTCTGGGCCTGGAGTCCCCTCATGGCAGCTGCACAGACACCCCGTGCCTAAGGGAACTGCAGCCACCCGCTTCGGCCCTGAGCCTAGCCCTGGCTCCAGGCCCTGGGCACTACCCCAGCTAAGAAACATCCCAAGTCCCAGCATCTGCTCCCGGATGCTACCTCTGACCAGTCTGCAACCCTGTGACCTGCTCTCAGTGCAGAAATCTGCGGGAGCAAGTGCCTTCCCGATGGGTCACTAAAGAGGCTAGGAGCAGGGCTGGGGAGGGTCCAGGATGGCTGGGGAGGCTTGGGGCAGGCAAAGGATGGCACTATAGTCCCTACACCCAGGGGCCCAGGGTGGTTCCCTCCCCCAGGCTGTCAATACCTGATGGGGGCTGCAGGGTGGCATGCAGGGTAGCAAAGGTGGCTTCCTGCAGCTGGTGGGTGCCAGCCAGGATAAGCAGAGTGGTAGTCTTCATGGTGCCATGAAGTGCTGGGGGGCAGCATGAATGCATGCAACATGGGGGCAGCACAAAAGCAGTGCAGGGGTGCTGCTGGTGCTGCTGTGCCTGCCTGTCTTACTACAGGTCCGCCCCCATCACCTGGACCAGGTGTTACCCAAAACTTAGATTAATGGCAAAAGTTAGTTTCTTTTCAGTGGGGTAGCTTATTGCTTAGGGTACTGGGGAGTTATACACTTATTAGAGACCATTAACTTATTAGAAATTGCGTTATCCTACACACACACATGCATGTTTACATGCATACATTCTCGCAGATAACACACTTACATAATCAATCCCAAGGGCATTGCAGGTAGGGGTGGCCAGTCCCTGTCCGTTGATGGAGTGGGGTATCCGACCTGGCATGCACAGGCACGGGCTCCAGTGGTGAGGCAGCCTCTTTTCCCCACCATTCTCCCTTCTTGCCCCCTTTTATAGTTTATGTTGCTGGGCAAGATTTCTGGATGCTTCTTCTTCAGGCATGTGCTGCTCGGTCGGCACATAACAAGCTTCCCCTTATTTCACCAGTTAGAACTGGTCTTCTTGTCAAGGATGTTGCAGAGACATCTGTCCTTCAATGGGCAGCTTTTGGTTGCTGACCACAACTTCTTCCCATTACTCTGGCTGGGCTTTAGCTCTGCACCCCACTGTCAGCCCAGAAACCTGGAGGTGGGGGCGAGTGCCCTCCCAGACCCCTCCTTAGCAGTAATGGTCCATACTGTCCGTCCAACTGCTCCACTACTGCTTTCCCGTCAGGCAGCCGCTACCCCTTGCAGGGCATGTGTCCAAAACAACAAGTGAGTCTCAGTAAGGGAAGCAGCAGCATGAAAGCAATAAATAAATAACTGGCAACAACTGGGGATCTTCAATGATTATTTTTAAACTTCATTAGACTGTTCTGGCTATATATTAACTTTGCTCAGTATTCATGACAGTTCCCCCTTCTTGGAGGTGGGAAAAATTTTAAGAGCAGACCAAAAGGTTGTCTGAGGTTTTGCTGTCACCTCTGTTCTCCTCTGAAATGCTGCTGCTGCTCTTGTTCCTTCCTACAATATGCTCAGTGAATTGCCAGAGACATACCTACACCTTACACAACATAACAAGCTATAAAGACCTATATGCTTCAGCAGGGTACATGCTGCAGTCCCAAAAGATTCTCTCTTACTATTGTATCAGCATTTCCTATGCTCCACTGAACCCAGCATGATATTGGGAGATAGGAATTCTTGATTTCTACCTTATATATCCATAAGGGATATATTTTACGGTCAAAGAACGTCTGACTTGAAGCTTCGGTGCCAGAAATACTCAATCATGTAGTCCTTCTGTCTGCACCACCTACAAAATGACATTTGCTCCATAAATGCAGCCCAATAGTTATACAGCACCATAAATATCTGCAGTGCTTCATTTTAGGAATCCCTTAGCAAAAGCTATCCCAATGCCTGTCCGTTGTGCTTTCAGGCACAAAACAACCATGTCAACTTCACATCATATTTTTCTTTGTGTCCACTGACCTCACCCATCATCCCTGACCCCAAATCACTTCTACACAGTAGGGCTATAACATGCCTTTCACTTCCCCAGAGGTATGGCTTAAAATTCGCAGTTTGCCAATATAAAATCCAGACTAACCACACATTCAAGAAGACACTTGGAAAAGGGGAAAGAAAGAAAAGGGGCGAGGGGGTCTGCTCTTTCTTGGAACTGGAAACCTGGTCCCCCTCGCCAGGAGCAAGGTGCCCAGGAGGTCCGGCTGGGCAGAAGGATGGAGGTGGCAGCTCCGAGGGGCCGAGTTCCTGTGGGACCGCAGAGTGGCCAGGCAGCAACTGCCTCCACGTCCCCCGGGCTGCGGGACACAGGAGGCTGTGAAGGGGCGGTGGGGCCCGGGACCCCACACCTTGTAGCTGGGCGGCCCCCGTGGGACCCGGGTTCCCCCCTCACCCCACCTTGCACCGCAGGCCCCGGAGCTACTTTCCAGGACAAGATGCCGAGGCGACAGCTGTGGCAGGTCAACGAGCTGCAGGGGATTGCACTGGTGTGGCTTCCACAGGTCCTCAGTTGAGTCATCTGTGTACCAAGCCTGCGCCATGTAACTCTTGGTGCCCAGTCTGGGGAGGACCCAAAAAGGGAAAACCCAGACGTAGCTCCCCTCCCATCCCCAGTGCCGCTCTGATCCCTTGGCATACCTGATAGTTTTCCACTCTGAGGGACTGTGCTGAGTGAAGCAGAGACAGGGCATTGCTCCAAAGAGAGTTCTTACCCCCAAGAGCCAGGTTAACCCTTCCCTGGGCCTGCAGTTTTATAAGGCAATTGCTGTGCTTTTCATATAGCAAGCAAGGATCCAAAGCCCTGCAGGGCTGGGAAAGGGCTAACCTGGCTTTTGGGGGGTGACACTTGACACCTCCACAGCAGCTCTCTCCTCTCTGCCTCCATTGGGGCTCCTCCCTTCACCGAGGCTCTCCTGCTACACACACAGCAGCTGCCGGGTTAGCCAGGGCTGCCCTACAGGATCACAGCCTGCAAGGCCACTTGTCAAAAAGTATTACGTGGAGAAAGATGGTGGGTATGTCTGTGCATGCATGTATGCCATGGGCAGATCTAGGATTTGAAAAGGCAGGGTTCAGAGAGTGTAGTACATCATCTTGTATAACACAACACACATTTTTCTTCAGTAATAGGAAACTAGATGCCTTACTAATATGTTGTTAGGTATCAGGTTTGTAGCCATATTGGTCTAGAGGCAAAGGGAATCAAGGCTTGTGGCAGAGGTGATATTTTTTATTAGACCAACTAGAGTTTTGCAAAAAAATTCTTTCATTGCAAGCTTTTGGACACAAAAACCCTTCTTCAGGCATAGGAGAAAAGATTGTAAAAGTATTACAACACTGTTACAGTCTTTTCTCCTATGCCCGAAGAAGGTTCGTTGTGCCTGAAAGCTTGCAATTAAAGACATTTTTTACTAATATGCTAAAAGCCTGGGGGCTCAGTTTCAGATTTATGCAAAATCAAAAGTGACAAGTCTGCAAGACTCTGAAATAGAAGTTATTTCCAGTCATTACCATTCCAGTCATTACCAGGAAGAGCTAACAGGCAGCAGAATTGCAGAGGAATGGCTAGCTTGAGTAGTAGAATATCTGGACCATTAAAAAGGTGAGAGGGTCATTAACAGCTGTGGAATGAAGAGTTTAGAAGGAATCAGTAAATGTTAGTGATCCATGAAGTCAATGGTCTCCTTCACTACTGTCAGAATAGAAATGCTGCTGCTGCTGCTGCTGCCAGGCAGTTTCTTTTACAAGTTTGGATAGAGCAGAAATCAAAGCGGGGTGCAACTGCAACTGTCCACCCCTCCTGGATCTGCCCCTAATGTACGCATATAACTGGACTCATGAGTTCTAGTTACAAGTTCTAGTCTCTGGTTCTAGGAGATCTTATATATTTTAATCCAATGCCTCTTAAATGCAAAATACATAAATGGTCCTGAGTGCAAGAATTAGAACTCAGGATGTCATCCCCCTGGACACTAGTCCATTACGTGTGCATGCGGGTATTGGCAGTGGCAGCAGCAGTGGTAGTCCCCCAATATGATGGTTTTCTAGTACATAGGGAAGTCACTGCTGATTCTAGAAACATCCATTGATGCCCTAATTTATGAATCGAGTAATTTAGACTTGCCCAAGATGGAGAATCTCTATGAAGGTTTTCAAAAAGGCATCTAGGGAGTCTACTCTTTTTATAAGAAATGGAGGGAATAAAAAACAAATCACTTTTGGTCATATTTTGAAAGCACAATCTGCCCTGTGCCTGCAAATGTAAGAGCCAGAATGAACCAGACCAGTGCTGACCCAGATCATATTTAATCTTAGAATCATATATTGGTCATCTCTATTTTTGGGGAGGTAAGACAGATGGAAGTCAGCCTTTCAACTCCTAGCAAAATGAGCAGCAGTTTCAACAGAAGGGTGGGGGTGGGGGAGAGCCTGCCTGCATCACCCCTCCTGGGTGGCAGGCCTGTGGGGGTAGGGGGAGGTGGTGTGTGGAATGGAGCCCCCTCACCCTCACCTTGCGGGCTGGGCCCAGCTCCCTCCCTGGTACCCCAGCTTGCGGGGGGGACCACGAGGCAGGGAGACTCCATTTCACCCCTCCCAGCTCAGTCCAGACAAAGCCCAGCTCAGTGCTGCTCTCTTCACCCTGCCCCTCCTTCCCTGCTTATCACCAGTGGGGTGGGGCTGGACTGCATCAACCCAGCCACACTACACCAAAAAACTAACCCTAGGAAATACAAATTCCCTAAGGCACTGTAAAGCAGAGTACCTATATCTAATGCCTCATTTGATAAGGATTAAGTTTTTCATGAAATCTCCCATCTTGAAATGTGCAGCCATGCACATGTCACAGCACTGCTGTAGAGTGCTTCCAGGGGCCTGATCACAGAAAATTATAGAGTAATAGAAAATTAGGGTTGGAAGGGACCTCCGGAGGTCATCTAGTCCAACCCCCTGCTCAAAGCAGGACTATCCCCAATTAGATTATCCCACCCAAGGCTTTGTCTACCCGGGTCTTAAAAACCTCCAAGGATGGAGATTCCCCCACCTCCCTAGCTAGCCTGTTGCAGTACTTTACTATCCTCTTTGTGAGAAAGTTCTTCCTAATATCTAACCCAGGGGCACCAATTATTGGGGCCTGCGGGCCGCATGGGAAGTTTTCACAGGCCAAGCCAGCACCACCCCCTACTCATGCAACAACTCACAAACCCCCCTATGTGGAATGGGACCACAGGCGGGCTGGGAGCAGTGTTCAGGAGCAGGAGGGGCAGACATGGCTGTGATCACAAGGCGGGGGCATGGGGTGGTTACAGCTCAGGGCCCAGGGCAGAGCTGTGATCTACATGTACACTCCTGCAATGGGCATGGGTTCCATGGGCAGTGACATGAAGGGAACAGACTGGCTGGGAGCCAAGTTGGTAAGGTGCTCTGCTAGGTGGATAGGATAGGAGCTCTCTCCAGGTGGTTTCCAGCTGGTCTCCATAGAGACCCTGGGATCTTTGGGTGAGGTCTCCATGAAGACTGCCCAGGAACCACACAGGCAGGGAACTCCATTCACATTCACCTGGCAGAGTGCCCTGTCTGCATGGAGACCCCAGGATCTTGGGGCAGTGACAGCACGGGGTCAGGGCAAAGCCCTGGTTTGGATGGCAGGGACGTGTGCTGTGCACATTGCAGCTTGGCTCCAGCCCCAGCCCCACACTGTCGGCCCCAGCCCCATTCCCACGCTGTCGCTGCCCCAAGATCCCAGGGTCTCCCAGACGCTGCCCATCCACCCTGCTCCCAAATACTGCTCCCCACCAGCCTGCACCCCATACCAGCTGCCTGGCCGAGTGCCCTGCCCATGTGGGTCCCATCCCCCAGCAGGACAGATAGAACTGGATGCAGCCCAGTATGATGTGAGCCTTTTTTGCAACAAGGGCACACTGCTGGCTCATATTCAGCATATTGTCCACTGCAATCCCCAGCTCCTTTTCTGCAGAGCTGCTACTTAGCCAGTCAGCCCCCAGCCTGTACTGGTGCATGGGATTGTTCTGTCCTGAGTGCAGGACTTTGCATGTCTCCTTGTTGAACCTCATGAGATTGATTTTGGTTCAATCCTCCTGTTTTTTGAGGTCTCTCTGAATACTAGCCATACCCTCCACCATATCTATTATTCCCCTCAGCTTGGGGTCATCTGCAAACTTGGTGAGGGAACACTCTATGTCATTTTCCAGCTCATTGATGGATATTGAGCAAAACTGGCCCCAGAACCAACTCATGGAGCACTCAACTTGATACTGGCTGCCAACTGGACATTAGGCCATTAACTACTACCCTCTGAGATGAATGATCCAGCAATTTTCTATCCACTAAACAGACCATTCATCTAACCTATACTTCTTTAGCTTGCTTGCAA